TTATATATATATATATATATATATATATATATATTTCTGAGACTGATATATTTCATATTTTTGTCTGCTTTTACTTTTAAGTTCTTTGAATTACATATACTGTATATGTGCATATATTACTTACCTCATTTTCCCTAAGCTCTGAATGTTCACAAATGTTGTGCTTTGAAAATCTATAATCTCAGTTTCATGTGTACTGCCATTAGCTATTCACATTATTTTGTGACATATATTATCAATTTATTCCTTTGCTATTAGGAGTACATACTTTTTTTTTTTACTCCAAAAGATTGCTGTATTAACCTTCATCAGCACACCTTTGAAAAGTTATGCTATGGAACACCTGGGGTCCAGGTGGACCCCAACACAAAATTACCATTATAGAAATTCCAAAAACCAATTGCATTACAACTTTTATTAGGGTTAGCATGCAATGTGAACAATATAAAGATATATGTATTCTAGACAAAATATATTAACACATGAACCTCAGTATACAATGAATGGTATTAAACCATTCGTTATACAAACAGTATATCAAAAAAATGCCAAATTTTATTATACTCCCATAATCAAGTCATTATTTACCAATATATGATTAAATTACCACAATAATGCAAAATTCAACTCAAAGAAAACTGAAAGTGTACGTTGTGGATCACCTTGGTTCCGACCAGACCCTAACACAAATGTACCCTTATAGTAGGCTATTTATTGAAAATCCAATAAGTAGGTTATTTGCAAGAATTATCAAATGAGGTTTCTATAAAATAGAACATTATAAGAGTCATCGCAGAGAACACTTGTTGAGGAATGAGATGTGCATACATACCACGATGATGTTATAAATAAACAGACGATAGGATACTGTACTACTTTGATGGATTATCCTCTACAACACTATATAGTGAAATAAACATTTAGAAATTTGTTCATATGTTATAGGTGGATCTGCATGGACCCCAGATATATTAGATTATATCTGTGTACTCCATCTGACTGCTTTGATGACAATGGGGTTTCTGCTTGACAGTTATATGAATTGATATAAATTTGTAACTATTATGCAAAAAGATATACTACTGAGACAATCATTGGTATCCATTTGTACCCCAGATGTGCTGATGAGGGTTAAGCATCTGATTCCTTTATTTACTAGTATTAACTTTCTACCCTATAATTCAGCTTGCAGTTTATGCCAGTCAGTGTTGTGGTCATGTGACACACGTGAACAGAATGTAGTGTGATGCGAGAGATGGCTAATTGCCATGGCAGTGGTGTCTGGCCTAAGCTTTGCATAGCATTTGAATTTTGTTCTTTGTTTGTTTGGGTCCATTCAACAGTGTGAGCAATAGTGAAAGTTTGTACAGTGTGCTAATCATACATCTTGAAGGTATGATAATCTATTTTTCATATTTCTTAACTTGAAATAAGCAAGCCATGGCCAATGTTTGTTGGTAATCTGAGCTTCTCACATAATAAAAGTTTAAGAATTAAATTGTGAATGATTGGTACAACAAGTGCATTAATTTACAGTGCTGCAGAACAACTATTAGGGTAACATTAGGTTTCTTGAACTATACAGATCTATGTGTTTCATTAACTTACAGTGCTGCAGAACAACTATTAGGGTAACATTAGGTTACTTGAACTATACAGATCTATGTGTTTCATTATAGTTACATACATTGTATCTGTTATATTTCATTAAAACACCCTGATGTACCTAAAAAATAATCTGAGTCACACTAATTTCTTGAGACTGATGCTTAACCAACTAAAATATCAAGAATGTAAGCCCAAGGAGACAACCCTCCTCCTAACTAATTACATATTTCCCTCTCCCTCAAAATTCCAAGGAGCATCCTAATGCTGATTAATCTCATAATTTGCATGACAGCTCATTAATCAAACACACACATCAGATATCTCACTCTAATGATCTGTTATTCATGTTCAGGTGCCTATTGTTGCAATATGAAATAACTTTAGTAAAAATCTGCCATTATGAGGAATAAAGCCAGGACACTAGGGGCATGTTAATGTCTTGACACTGACCTAACAGGACTTCAAGTTTCAAGCAGATAACTCCCTTCCAGAGTGTTATAATATTTTTTGCGTCATAACCAAAAATTCTTAACTGAAAGTGAACTAGACATTTATATAAACTCCAAAACTTGGCAGTAGTTATTAGTCCTACAAGTCTATATCAACTAACTCGTGTGTAAGATGTACTTCTGGTGAAACTTTATAACATATAAACCAGCTGTCTCTTTAAATATCTTCATATTTTGTTTAAAACTTAATTAAAGCTTATATTGTCATTCTGGTAGTCATTAGCTAAATACTTTTTGATTAGATCTGCAAGTACTTTAATTGCATAAAAATCACTAATGCTAGACTTGGTACAATTCTCAATAACTAAAACATTTTTCATAGAAATACTTTTATTAGTCTGTGAACTACCTGGGTCATATGATCACTGTTTCCTTGATGGATTTAATTTGCAATTAATTACTCCCAATCACAAGAGTATGTATTACTTTTACACTCTACCACATTATATAATTAAAGTTGCCACGAGCATTTGGTTTTGGTTGCAACAATTTTCTCTGTTAAACCATAAATACAAGAAATGCTTCTTTGAAAAATGTTCCATGATTAAACTATTTACAACCAAGAAACAATGTATGCTTTAATCTTGCTGGCTTATAAATGGCCGTATACACTTGCATATGTTTATACACTTCCAAACTAGTGCAGTCATGCTGAAAGTTAGGTGTTGCTTAATACTGTTTACTCAATATTATCAAACAAATAAAGGTTTCCACAGTGTTCAATATTACAAACATGCAGTACTAGACAAGAAAAATCACAGTTGACCAGCCATTCCTACATGAATGGAATTGGCAAATCAGCTACTTCTCCTAGGTGAACCCTGTTCGACTTGAGAAGAAAGAAGACCTGTTGTCAACAAAATATCTCAAGTTTACACAGTTAGACCATACTTCCCACACATGAGAACAGATAGTTCACTCAAACTGTTTGGTCCTAAACAGCTAGACAGGTACTAACACAAGCCCATTGTATGTAGGACTCTTGAAATTACCCAAACTTTTGTTTGGCATACAAGAATAATGCGATGATAACCTATACTTTCCACATTACCATTCCACTATAAATTGGCAGCATAGAACTTGGCACATACCTACACTCATGAAACGACATTTCCTGTTAGAATACAAATAAAATGGGGTAATGACAAGACAACAGCAATACTTCATGTTACTACTACACTTAACTTACTTTCTTCACTAGTCTTTATTGGCTGCAAACTTGCATGAGTACCTTTGACTAACATACCTGACTAGTGTGGAGCGTTATGTGTCAATGGAGGACTAAGTGCATACATGTGCAATAGAGATGACAGATAAACATACAAGGACAGTTGTCAAAGAAGAAGTGTGGTGTGCATATACCAGGGATGAAACCTCATGCTTAATGGTGAATACGCATTTAATTAATAGGCTGATTTAACAAAGACCGTGAATGTCTGGCTACGACATCAGTGTGGTATGAAAGAAACTGGGGCTAATATTCACAATATCACTATCCAAGCCTGCTAACGTCTGTTACCCAAAACTTCTATTAGTCAAGTTTTCAAAATGTTGAACATAATGTCTTTTAATATTTTAAAGAAATTCTAATAATATGTGGTTCCACATATGAATAAGTTATCAGTGGTATTCTTTGCAAAACACAAAACACCATCGTTTAAGTACTTTGTGTCTAACAGGTATAGTTCTAGTGTTTCACTGTTGGGGGGTGGATGTAATGAGATACTTCAACTCTGCAGATATAGGTGTTATTATACATCTGCATTATCAACTGCTTAACATTGAACACCTTTGTACATTTTATTTTGTGTATTTTTTACTAGAATTTGAGAGCATCTTAATGATTGCTAATTCCATCCCTGTCTATGAGTATATCTAAACACAAATGCAGCAAAAAGGTAAAATTGTTTACAGAAATTAACATACAAGTTTGCAGCAGCATACACTCTCTTTTCATGAAGTTTTGCATTGACATGTTTGTGTTTGGTTTGTAGCATGTTAACATTTGCATTGAGGGTCAGTTCTAAACAGTCATGAGTAAATATAATGATAACATAGCAATTTATCAAGACATAAAAATTCAATTTTTACAAAGTGTGTATCATAAATCATGTTTGGCTGAGTTTGTTTGTTTTGTTTTTTTTAACAATTTTAAGTAATTGTGGAATTATATACACTAGCAGGGACCTGCAAAATGTTTGGGTTTAAATTAATATATTTATTGCAACAGCACTTCTTTAGATACTAGATTTCTAGAATAGTACAAAAGAATTCTAATCGCAGATCTCGAAATATTTAAGTCCACTTGTTTTAAACCCATCATTAGTTGAGCCTTTATTAAGTACGGCCTATATTCAATAAAGAAATATATTAACACTTTAACTTGCGTAAGTTTTTTGCTTTACGTGAGTTAGGGCTAAGCTTTATCGTAGTTAATACTATCAGTGAAAAAACTTTAATGTTATTCTACGGCTTAACGTTAGATCTTTTTAAAAACTTTGATAAGATTTGAATATGTTGTTGTAAAAACTGTATAATAAAGTATACTTACATCCGCCTTTTTTTTTTTTTACATCCATTGAAATGACATGTGCGCGCGGGCGCATGCGCATTTAGATAGTTAGATGTCCCGCGCATTTTCAGGACAAACAATAACTGAGTATTATTGCAAAGACTAATAGAGAGCCGCAAAACATTTCCAATCAAATTAGTATATTTATTGCAACAGTACGTTTTTACATACAAGATTTCTAGAATAATACAAAAGAATTGTAATCGCAGACACTAAAGTATTTAAATCCACTTGCCTTAGCTCTGACATTAAACATTTATTAAGTCCGGCCTATATTCGATAAAGAACTAGATTAATATTGTAACTTGTGTACTTTTTTTTTTTAGCTTAGTTAGGGTTGAACTTTTACCTAGTTAATACTATCAATTAATAAACTTTTAAGGGTTATTATACAGCCTAATGTTAGACCTTTTTAAAAACTAAAGTTTTTAATATGGTGTTGCCCAAACTGTATATTAAAGTATGTGTACATCCGTTGAAATGAATTGTGCACTCGCATTTTCAGGACAAACAAAACTAAGTGTTATTATAATAGAGTAGCAGACAGATACCCACTAAGGCTAAGTATTTACGATCAAATTAATATCTTTATTACAACAGTACTTCTTTAAACACAAAATTTATAGAATAATAAAAAAGGATTCTAATCGCAGACCCCGAAATCTTTAAATTCACTTCTCTGAATACTTAGGCCTAACATTAGTTACGCCTTTATTAAGTGCGGCCTATATTCCATAAAGAGATAAGTTAACACTGGAACTTGTGTTCGTTTTTGATTCAGTTTAGTTAAGGCTAAACTTTACCGTGTTTAATACTATCGATAAATAAACGTATGATATTATTTTACGACCTAATGCTAGACCTTTTGAAAAACGTTGATAAGCTTTTAATATGTTGCTGTACAAAATGTCGTCAAAATTCTAAAGTATATTTACATCTGCCTCTTGTTTGCATCCATTGAAATTAAAAGCGCGCACATTTTCAGGACAAACAAAAACTGAGTGTTATTATAATATATTTTGTTTTGAAAATAGTGTTGTGATTATGATAAAATATTAGTGTTATGGACTACAGTATAATGTTGTTGTTTTTTCTTTACTTGAAATGTGGATAGTAATTTCCTAAAGTGGTTGTTTCTATCTTCAGCTGTTTTATTTCTCGGGTTTCTTTCTGGTGTGGTTGCCGAGTTAAAATTTCATGGAGTTTCATAAGCGTAGCACACGTGATTTTGTATTTCTGTTTGCAGACCGTTCCAACTGTGCAAGAGACTTTGTCAAAACACAAAACCTAGCAACATGGAATGGGGTTGTTGTGGTCTCTGGAGATGGCCTTTTGTATGAGGTATACAATAAATCTTCTGTTTTACTTGTGTCTCTAAGTGTAAATAAGAAATTGGACAATAATTGTAATTAATTCATAAAAGAGATGAATAAGAGTAGAAAAGGTTTGCATCCATACATTTTATTGAGTGTGTATAAAATTAACACCAGGATTTGCTTGCTTGTGTATATGTTTGAAAATGTACATAACTTTAAAACTAGAATTAACTTGTTTGTATCTAATTGATTGTACATAACATTAACAAAGAAATTTACAATTGAGTGTACATAACATTAACACAGAAATTTACAATTGAGTGTACATAACATTAACAAAGAAATTTACAATTGAATGTATATAACGTAACATGAGAATTTTATCTGTTTATCTACGTTTTTGAATGTTTATGTCAGAAAATATGAACTTGCATGTTTGTATATTTATGTACACATACACAGGATGTATTTATACCATTGATTAGGATATGCACAACATTAATGTGGTACTGTATTCTTTATACATGGGTACATTTTGTCAAACTCATTTTCAACTTGATTGTAGCATGTATTGAACTTTGTGACTTTTAATAGTTTGACAAAGATAATATTGTCCTTGATAATAAAAAAAGGGGTGATTGTAAGGAATATGTGTTTAATTGTTGGTGTTTTCTCATTGTTTTTTTTTTCTTGTGAATTGGACTATTTGAGTTATGTAAAATCTCCTTTGTCCATGTGTTCACCATATTTAGTAAGAAATGCAAATTTGAGTCATCTAACAACATACACATATTCACTGCACTTAAAAAGAAATGCAAGTTTGTATTATGTAAAATTTCCAACATCTACGTTTCTTCCACACTTAATAAGGAATAAAAGTCTGAGTCATGTAAGTTCTCCACACTTAATAAGAAATGTAAGTTTGAGTCCAGTAAAATCTCCAATGCACATGTGTTCACCATCTAAATATCACTGTTAAGACATCTACAAAATAAAGTTTACACAGTGTTTCATATATGTGTCCATGGCTGTGAAAAGTTAAGAAAACACACTATCATTCTGGTAATCCATAAATACTACCAAAAACACCTACCCTTGAGCATAGCTAATTGCTCTGGCAAGTCCATTTCCAGATCCACCTGGTATAATTCCAATTGGAGTCTTGATTGCTGTGTTCCAATCACTTCTTTCCATTATACCATTGAAAACCTCCAGAAAAAAATTATTTGGAAAAATAAAAACTAAATACACTGATTAAGAAATGGAAGTATATATGTGTTTAACAGTTTATGCCACAAAGAAAGAGTATTCCCCTTCAAACTTCCTAAAGTTTACTAGTTTCACGTTTCAGATATGTAATAAACAAATAACAGGATTTTATTTTTTATTGTATACTTAAAAATAAACCTGTCACAGAGATAGTTATTTATTTATAAATTGGTAGTGAAAGTGTTAACTGGGATGAAAATTTACTATGATTTTTGTTCAAAATTTTATTGTATGAACTGTGCAGCTTTTATTTTTTCTTTTGTCAACATACTGCTGGATGTTGGTGGAAGCCTCTTACGTAGTCTTTGATTTATTGATTCAGAATATCATACCATTAATCAACAAATCTATATTAAGTGGCAGCCATTTAGTTTATTTTTTTCCATGATCAGAATAATTAATGTGTCAATTAAGTATACTTACAAGCTAAATAGTGGGTTGGTGCCAGAAGGTTGGAAGTTGACTAATGTTACTTCTCTTTTTTTAAGGAATGTAATAAGAATTGTCCCAGTAATTATAGGCCTATTAGCCTTATATCAGTGGTGGGGAAAAACAAATGCTATACAAAGTCATTTAACAAAGTTTATAATTTTGTTTGATAGTCAGCATGGATTCACAAGGGGAAAGTCTTGCCTTATTAATCTTTTGATATTCTTTAAAGAGGTTATTGCTTATGTGGATGAGGATGCAGGTGTGCATTTGGATTTTCAGAAAGCATTTGACAATGTATCACATAAAAGGCTTGTTAAAAAGTTATCTCTGTAGGTATGGAGGATAGGTTGGCTCGTTGTATAGAAAACAGGCTAGTTGGAAGAAAGCGGAAGGTTGTTATAAATGGGTTCAGTCAAACTTGATTAATGCCACAAGTGGGATACCTCAGGACTCAGTATTAGGACCTTTGCTGTTTTTAATTTACATCAGTGACATAGATAAACGAATGGTTAACAAAATATTTAAATTTGCTGATGAAATTAAAGTTTTGGGTGTTACTAGCTGTGAGGAGGATGCTACAGCTTTACAAAAGGATTTGGATTATTTGGCAAGTTGGGAAAATAAATGGCCAATGACTTTTAATTATAATAAGCATAAGATAATGCATGAGAGATTTTGCAATTTGAATTATGAGTAAAATTTTGATAGGAATAACCTTAATACTATTATGGAAGAAAAAGATCCTGGTTATTCTGGTTCGTCAGTCTTCTAAGCCATCCAAACAGTGTGCTATTGGTAGTGGCAGAGCAACTGGATTTTAGGTTGTATCTACAGAAATATTGAATACAAGTTTAACAAGCTATAATGTTGGTGTGCAGGTCATTGCTTAGGCCACATTTATAGTACTGTGTTCAGTCTTGAGCTCCTTACCTTAGAAAGGATATTGAATTGTTGGAAAGAGTTCAGAAGAGGGCTACTGGAATGAAAGCTGGGATGGAAAGGTTGTCACATAGGGATAGGTTTAGATGTCTGAATATGTTTTCTCTTAAAAGAAGAAGTGCTAGAGGAGATCTGATTGAGGTGTTTAAGATTGTTAAGGGAACTGATATTGTTGTTGCATCATACTTTTTTGTATTTAATGATGAAAATAGTAAAACAGGAGGATACAAGTATAAATTTTGGCAGGGTAGGAGTCATCTTCAGCTATGCATCCAGGTATATTGCCTATTAGACCTACATATGTGTGTAAATAGCAAAATATCAAACTTTTCATAACATACCACGAAAGGAAAATATGGGACCTTTAGATACATCTAGGTAATCATATCCATTTAATTAACACTAAAAAACTCAAAGACATCCCTCATCATTCAAATATTTATCACCTTAAACTACCTCCAATTAACTGCATCTACCACATCTGAAGACAAACCCATCCCAAAGGCCAACCACTCTGTTAAAAAATATAGCTGTCGGTCTACAGGTACAGGGCCAAGCATACAGGTGCAGGATTTTTTTGGCATTTCAGTATAATATCAATCTTGGTTTCCTATTCTGATTTCTCAAGACATCAATTGGGGATCTGGGGCACCATCAAACAAAATCAGTGCATGGGCCCCATGTGCCAGTGCTTAGTGATGCCTTTCAAGCCGAAATCTTTTAAGTACCTGTTGATGCCTCTGCCCGAATGTTACTCCAGTGAGGATTTAGTTTTTAGTGAAGTATAGTTAATGTAGGGTAACTCAGTCCAGTTGCTAGCTGTAATCACCAAGAGCACAAAGAAGTTTCTTATTTAAATTATCTCGAACTCTTCTGCTGTTTTATAATACTGGACATCTCTGTTGCTTCCAGAGAATTATATAATGGATTGACTTGTGCACGAGCAGTAGGATAAATTACACACAATCAAATCCATGTGTGACATGCTCAATGTTATCTTTAGGTTTATGATCTTCTGTGTGTCTGTATGGTGTAATTCATTCCTGGAAGATATCTTGAAAAGTTTTAATGTAATTACATCACACATACCCTCACAAGATTAACTTTTTAAGCCTCTAGTGGATGTAATTTGATTTTGTGTAGCTAAGCTATTAACTATTTCTTTTTTTTTTAAGGATGTCAAACTATTCACTTGATACATTGTGCAACTATATCAGTGATTAAGTTATGAGATTTCTGTACGTTTAAGCTGATATAAGGGTAATCAAAAATTCTCTCTTAGTCTGGTTGTGTTCCATAGATATTCAGATGTAGTTTGTTACATAATTTCCAGGCAATAGATATAACTATATCATAGATAGACGGATATTCTCAAGGAGTTGATGTTTACCTACATCAGTAATAGATATTTAAAATATTTATACACTTGTTTTAAGTATTTATATGAGTATTAAAATCCTGCCTTCCTAATCTGTTATCTTTTTTATTAGGATGTTACTTGTTATCTGGACGATGGATGGGGTGTTAATGTGGTGTTCTTGGATTGTAAAAAAATGTTGTTAAGATACCACACAAAAGATTAGCTAAGAAAGTTAAGGGTTAGGGAAAACTAATTAATTGTATTATAAGATGATTGAATAGCATAAAGCAAATGGTTGTTATTATTATTTGAGTTCAGCCAAACTAGATACTTGTTACTAGTAGAGTGCCTTAGCAGTCAGTGCTTGGGACTTTACGTTAATGATATTTATAGGGAAGTACATTAGTAAAGTTTGCTGATGACATTAAACTCTTGGGCATTTCTAGCTACAGTTAAGATGTAAAATAATTACAAAACCATATGGAAAGTTGGACAGATATTTGGCAAATGACCTATAATTATAGTAAATTCAAATAATGCATGTGGATTATCATCATTTGGATCACACATTTAATGTATAGTTAGGAACCCACTCAATAACATGATAAAATAAAAGGATGTTGACATAATAATAATAAGTCTTTTAAGGGAATGCTCTGTCACCAGTAGTAAAGGTAATTGAATTCAAGATTATATTTATACTATGGATGTGTTAGTGACAAGTCTAAAGAGGTAATTATACTAATGCAAATCATTAGTTGGGCCTGACTTAGAATGTTGTGTATGTTTTGGTTTTACCTAAGGAAGGATATTCGTCAATAAGGGTTTATAGGATGAGAGGATACAAATTTGAGACTTCGAAAAAGGAATGTTAGGCTCTATTTAGGACAGTTTTATATTTTAACAAGGTGATATAGAATGAGTCGGCATCACTTTCCGGAGGTATAAAATATTCATAGGTACTAGAACTCATGATTAACATTCACGAAAAGAAATTACTGACTATATGAAACATTTTTATACAACTGAAAAAAGTCTGTTACTTCTTGGATGAATACATGAATGTTACAAGCTTGTGGTAAAAAGTTTTTAAACTTCCATAGGGAGCCATATGTTGGAAAAACAGTCATCTCAAGTGTATTGAATGTGATCCATGGAAGGGTATCTCCAATGGATTTGGTTCGTGTATCCACAGCAAAAGAAACAGTATATTCCTTTCTTTCTATTGGTTGGGGTATTATGGCTGATATTGACATTGAGTCTGAAAAGTTGCGGGCAATAGGAGAGGCTAGGTTTGGTTTGTGGGCTATTGTTAGGTCTATTGGTAAGTCCTTTTTTTTAATTGTTTGGGTTGTTCTTTACTAGTTGTTAAACCAAAACACTCGAAAAGAGTTTATTAGGCATGCAGTTTTCTGATAAAAACTTTTCAATATATTTTTCTTATTTGTATAAAGGTTTATTAAACAAAACCTTTTAGTATTTCTTGTTTGATGCATGTTTTAATCCTGAATTATAACTCTTAATATTAAAACAATTTTTTTTATTATATTTATATTCTACTGTAGATAAACCTGATCTACTGTATATGTGCAGAAGTATATTTAATATATATATATATATATATATATATATATATGTGTGTGTGTAATATAAAAAATAATTTAATACGTGATTATAAATTGTAGCATACTGAAATAGATTCCATTGATTTCCATTACATAGCAGTACTTAACAGTGTTCTAAACATTTAGATGTGTATTTTTGTAATGTATATCTAAGAGAACTTGTAAAAACGTTTCCTATCTTCTGGCAGGTTTGAGAAAGTACAGTGGAAGACTTTCCTATCTACCTGTTGATGGTTATTTGCCAAAAGCAACTAAACAATTGATATCTCAGTACAGGATGAAGAGAAGTGTTACTTCTGGAGGCAGTGATTATGTAACAACTTCTCATGAAGAAAGAAATAGTTCCATAAAAAATAAAATCCAACAAATGGTGAGGTCAAAAAGTTTGAATTTCACCTTGGAAGAACAGAGAAGTAAAAAAAGTATGAGTAAAGTATTCATGAATAAAAAGAGTTCTGACTCATCTTCACTAGAAAATTCAAATTCATCATCAGATTTCATGGTAGAACCAGAAAAAACATACTTGTCTGGTGATGAAGGAACGATGACCCACCAAAGTGAGATACAACCCACTGGAGCATGTTCTGGACAAATTGAAACAAAGTCTGTACAATCAACTAGTTGGAGTGAAGCTCCTGAACTGCCTGTTGTAACCTTAAATGATGAATCTTATGACATTCCAACTGTTTGTGAAAAAACATGTAATGATACAGCTCAAAGTTCGTTGCTGCCACCAATTAACCAGCCTTTGCCATCTAACTGGGTTGTTGTCGAAGGAGACTTTATCGTGGTGTATGCTTCTCATCAAACTCATCTCGGTACTGATGTGTTCTTTGCTCCGAATGCCAAATTAGATGATGGGTTGATGTGGTTAGTCATTATCCAAGCAGGGGTTTCCAGAGTTCAAGTGATAAACTTCTTGCTTTCTCTACAAAATGGTAAACATGTGGATATTCCATATGTAACTATGATACCTGTTCGTGCATTTCGACTGGAACCATTTTCTGCAGATGGGTACATGACAATTGATGGAGAGGCTGTTGACTGTGTTCCTCTACAGGCTGAGGTGTTGCCATCCCTTACTAGGATCATGACTCGGTGAACAAATAAGTATTTCCATGTGGTTTCTCAGTTTGACATTGGTCAGTCCACTATATATATATTTTTTCTATTGTACTATGAAAACATAGTGTTGTCCTTTGTAATTTTTGATAATTATACATTTGATGCCTTTGATTGAAGCTCCCAATTTATATATATATATATACCCTTCTGTCTTTCATTAAAAACTAAATTTGCAAATAAATTGCTAACTGTTGTTTAATCTACTTAAATTGTGTGCAGTGTGTGTATATATCTATATATATATATAAACAAATGTTACAGTATGTTATAAACTACAGATGGTGTTACACTTCATTCCAGCTTGAAAGACAACACCAATGGCATATAATTGAGAAAAAAGTAATTAAAACCACAAGTTTTTTTGTTGTTGTTAACTTCTAAGATTTCTTACATACCGTGAGTACAATTATATTTTAATACAGTTTTGGAAAAGTACAGCTGTTTGGCTGTCTGTTCTTTCATATTAATGCTTAGTCAGTCTTGGCTAGTCCTAAGTTGATATGTAGTTGAATCATGTTAATGAGGTTATATGTATATGTTTTTAAAGTCTTAAACTTTGCTTACATATGTGCATCTTCATTGTTTAAGAAAGGATAACATTCCATGGTGTGGGTTAACTTTTTCTTTCTGTTTTTGTTATTATTTGGTTTTACATTTTGCTGTTAAGTTTTTGACTTCTGATGGAATATTATATTTCCGTGATGTTTATAATGAGGATGTTGCTGTTTCCATGAATAATTCTGGGTTAAAGCTAAGTGGTATCAGATTGTTTATACCTCGGAGAAAATAATTTTGTGCTTGATAACACTTTCTCATATTCTATATGTTCATTTGCTGTGGATATCCATAGATTGAACAAGAAATTGGTTGTGATCTTTTTTTTTGTAAATTGTTTTCTTTCTTTTAATGCATCTAGGAACTAAAATATAGAATGTATTTCACCCAGACTTCTTGTGTTTAACTACATATACTCTACATAGTGTCGTGTGGTATGACACCAGTATTATGTTAAGACTTACTTTGTGGTACTAATCTCTTGCTAAGTACACAGATTTGGCATGTTTTATACTTGCACTAAATATGCATTGATGATACACAATACACTATTTTAATGTGCACATATAGACACTTGCATTTTGTCAGTGCTTTGAATATAGTTTGTCATGTTTTAAAGGAATTTGTAGTCATGACAGTAGTACTTCAACTAATTAATGTATTTTGTTTTGCTATGTTCACTGTGTCATAAATAGAATAATGTATTATGAAATAATTTTACATTTTGATATTTGCTCTTGTGCTTAATTTTCAATTGTATAGTGTAAAAGATGAAAATCTGCCTTTTTCATCAGGCAGAAGTAAATAATTGCATTTCAGCGACATGTGGATTCCCATAAATATTAAGATGAAATGACCTAATGTTGATTCCCATAAATATTAAGATGAAATTACCCGATGTGGATTCACATAAATATTAAGATGAAATGACCTAATGTTGATTCCCATAAATATTAAGATGAAATGACCTAACGTGGATTCACATAAATATTAAGATGAAATGACCTAACGTGGATTCCCATAAATATTAAGATGAAATGACCCGATGTGGATTCCCATAAATATTAAGATGAAATGACCCAATGTGGATTCCCATAAATATTGAGATGAAATGACATGACGCGGATTCCCATAAATATTAAGATGAAATGACCTGACATGGATTCCCATAAATATTAAGATGAAATGACCTGATGTGGATTCCCATAAATATTAAGATGAAATGACTTGACGTGGATTCCCATAAATTAAGGCGCTCGACTCACAATTTGCAGATCACGGGATCGAAACCCATTTCGAACATGTTCTCTCAGCCGTGGGGGTCGTTATAAAGTAATGGCCAATCCCACTGTTCGTTGGTAAAGAATTAACTATGGGTGGTGTTGACTAGCTCTTAGTCTAGCCTTCCAAAACTAGGGACCACTAACGCAGATATCCCTCGATTATCTTTGCACAAAATTCAACAACACAAAATAAATTACATGGGATGTAGAAACGCTTATTAGTATTATGAGCTTCTTTATATGCTTAATAACGAAGTTATTAAGACGAAATCTGGGAGTAACCTTTTAAGAGTAAGCTTTAAATACATAAAGATAACTGTTTTTTTTTGTTTTTTTTTTATTCCTGTAAAACTCCCAGTGGAGCATAGGGCTGTAACAACACCTCACCAACGGAAAGTTGTTGTTGCAGTTACTTGTAGCAGGTTGTTTTTTACGGGGTGGAGTTGCTAGCCCCGTGCCCAACCCTCATCCTGGACTTGGGACCAGGCGGAGGTTGGCATGTTTGGTGTGACGGGGATTCGAACCCGCGACCCTCAGATTACGAGTCCAAGCACCCTAACCACCTGGCCATGCCGGGCCTAAGATAACTGTTTACATGTCATTAAAGTTAGGTTAGAAAATGGGTTAGATGATTACAGAAAGATGTAACAACTTTAGTAAGATAAATTTATGTTTTATAACTGTATTTCCTCTCTTCCCCCTTAGCATAATTAAATAACCTACCGGTAGTAAAATCGGATGTATTGATAAGCTAATCCATAAAATAAAATAACCTGTTAAAAACAGACAACGTCATTGTAAATAAATGACAGATAGCTTTTAATTGTAATAAATGCAAGGTATTACATGTGGGATATCACAATTTAAATTGTGTGTAATTTTGATGAGAATAACCTTAACAGTGTTATGGAAAAAAACGATCTTAGTGTTGTGGTTGATCAGTCAGCTGTTAGGTTTTGGAAAGGTTTCAGGAGAGAAGAACTAAAATGATACCTGGGATAGAAAGGTTGTCATACGAGGTTAAGTTAAACTCTCTGAAATCGTTTTCATTTGAAAAAAAAAAAAGAAGAGTTATAAAAGAGATCTAATTGAGGTGTTTAAGATTATTAAGGGAGTTAATAGCATTGATGCATCATTCTTTTTTTCGTATTTAATGGTGAGAATGGTAAAACTAGGGGACACAATTAAGATATTGACAGGGTAAATAAAAGTCATCTTCAACCAAGACAGCTATATTTTTTTTAACAGGGTGGTTGGCCTTTGGAATGGGTTCCTTTCAGATGAGGTAGATGCAGTTAATTTAAGGGAGTTTAACAGAAGGATTAACGAATATTTAGCTTTGAGTATTAATTAATTTAGTATAGTGAATGGGACATCTTAGATGGACTAATAGGTCCCTTATTGTCCTTGGGTTTCTTAATCTAACTCGAAACCTCAATTTTAAGGAAATATTTTTTTTTTCCGACGTTATATCTTTAAACAAGATATGTTATCTTGGAGCACATAAACAGCGTCATTGGAATTTTATCAGCTTGCCTGTTCAACTATAAGCGCGAAGTGTGGATTCTTGACTCGCGTGTCATTACCTTCAAGAAAGAAAATATCGTGTTCCGCACTTTGGGATCATGGAGATGTTATAAGAACTACAGTCAAATCCCACTATTCGGTCTAACAACAGTTTGCAGTGAAGAAGCTATACGCAGATAGCCCTTAAGTAGGTTTGTGCAAAATTCAACAAACGCTATAAGCGCGAGAGTTGTACACTTTTATGAACTCCGTTTTTGTATCAGTATTTTATCTAGTTTACAACTAGTGTTTTACCATAAACGTGTCCCCAGTTTTACTTTTATGCCGTGTACAAAATAATGAAAAGAACCATAAGCATTTTACATTTTTCTTATTATTTAAGTTTCTGTTAAATGCGATGTATCGGTTAAATATTTTTTATGGTGTACAGTTTTACTGAATATTTATATATTTCAGAATTTCACACTGTACAACAATGAGAATTTTTTTAAGTTAAAACTTTGGAACTTTTTAAATGAACTTGTTTGTTACTTCTGTTAAATAGACTATAAACGCGTGAACATTATTATTGTAGATATGTACTGTCACAATGCGCACATTCCTTAACATAGCGCTATGTCATTGAGTATTCAATTGATTACCGCCTGAGACTGTATATTATTTTGTTAGAATCGACATTTTAGGGGAAACAAAACTCGGCCGAACTGTCTTGTATTTTACCACGAGCTGTTATATTTTGATGGCCTTGAAAGAGTGTCGTTAATCTAATCATTACTTGATTTCCCGCGCATAATGTTTTTATGACAATAGAATCGTCATTAAAAGCGCGGCTTATCTACTGGTGAATGACGTTTACCTGACGTAATGAGGTCAAATTATAAAGGTTGTGATTTCATGAATAGTGTTACTTATCGATAAGACAATTAGATTGTTCGAAACGTTAGCGGTGAATAAGTTATTATATAGCGAAACTATTCACCAATTTCTCGTAAGATTATAGATACTTTGTGGGAGGAGGGGGTGGTGGATGAACTGGCTAACACATTAATGGTATATTGTAGTGTATATATAATTAGGCTAAGGATTACTTGGAGTAACTGTTAAGCCTAAACTGTTAGGGTAAGCTAAGCTTCAATTAATTTTAACTATAATCTATAGACAGACACGACTGTTGTTCATAGGAATTTCATTTCTTTACTCTTTATTTATATTTTACGTGTAGGTTAATAATGTAAATATTTTATCCGCATTAGCGTAATTAACAAATACATAGTTGCTCACTGTTATCATTGGTATGAACTTTTTCATTTTTTGTATAAATAAAACTGATTTGCATGAAGATTTTGTCTGTAATTTAGAACACAGTAAGAAATTAAAAAGTTGCAAAGTTTTTAAAACTGAAAATGTGGTTCAATGTAAGAATGGGTACTCCCACCTTTTCTTGTATTTTATGGTATCAAACCTCCAAATGAACAAATATGTTTGTGTCCGAACTTGTGCGTATTATAATTAATGTTTGGCTGTTCAGTTGTTTTTGTTTGTTTTTTTTAATCATTACCCATGTTGTGATTGAAAAAATTATAACGGATTTGTATTTTTTTTTTTCATTTAAAATATTAGAGAGAGGGGTGTATATTAAGTTATACTAAATAGCCAGACTTTCTTTATGTGGGTCAATGGATAAGGAGTGTAAATGTGTATTCAGGTTTGTATTTGTTTATCGATATATTATATAAAAGATACTCCCAATAAACATATTATTTGGACAATAGCCGGCCCGGCATGAC